GTTGATACATCTCCTCCTTCTGCTGAGCTGAGGTGTCAGCTTGACAAGCAGAATGAACCTTTCTCTTCTGGTTGAGGAGTTCTTTGGTCTTCAATTATAAACATCCCAGGTTGAAGAGCCCTCCATCTGTTCGGTATTCCAGGTCCATTCCAGAAGGATGGTGGTTCTTAATAGGAAGCAAGATGACTGTCAAAAAGATGGAGAACAGAATTGGGGCAATGACACATCCTTACTTGACCCCAGTTCAGATGACAAATGGATCTGTCTCGGACCCACTACACAGAATGGTTACAGTCATCCAGTCATGAAGAAACCTAAGGACCTTGATGTACTTTTTAGGACATCCAAATCTGTCCAACACTTTTGACAATGCTTTGCAATTGATGGACTCAAAAGGCTTAATTAGGTCAATGAAGGCCATATCCAGGTCCTGATGTTGTTCCTAACACTTTTGTTGGACCTGGCTGGCAACAAAGATCATGTCAGTTGCCCCATGAGATGGTCTGAGACCACACTGAACTTCCTCAGCAAGAGGCAGATGACATTTCAGGAGGATATGGGTGAAAGGAGGGTGATAGCTTGATAGTTTCCATACACAGACTTATCTCCTTTGTTGAGGATAGGCGCAACTTTGGCATTCCTCAGGTCCCCAGGAACCTCTTCATTGTTCCAAATGCATGGGATAAATTTGTGGAGTCTTGGTACCAGTTGCTTGCCACCAGCCTTGTAGATTTTAGCAGGTATGCCATTCGGTCCATGAGACTTGCTGTTCTTTGTTTCCTTGATGGCATGTCAGACTTCTTCTAGGATAGGAGGATTGGCGAGGGATTCTTTTTCAGGGTGTTGGGGGATGGACTCAATGGTGGTGTGGAATCAAAAAAAATATCTGCCTTAAACTTTGATTATTTTAGTTATAAGATGACATAACCGCTTTGTGGAGAATTGCTGGCTCTATATAGTAGAACAGATAAGAGAAAGTGTTTGTTCTTTGTAACTCCTCTGCAACTGCTTCGCTCACCGCGGCCTTGAAGATAGCAAAAAAGTATGTACAAATCTGATTTCCAGGTGCAAGAAGGAGGTTTGTGAACTAACCTTGCCTCCCCCATTAGTTCCCATCCTGATTACAGCAAAAAAACAGTGAAATAATATTATAGCCGCTTTTCATGCTAATTTCACTATATGATCACGTGAGTTGTAAGCAACTGTTAAAAAGTATATAAGCCTCCTGATTTTGCTCTTGGGGGGGACCCCTTCCAAGTGCTTGGAAAATCCATGTCACTTTGGAGTCCCCCCTACAGCTGTAGTTTCTTTTAAATAAAAGCTTCTGCTGACCTGACCCAAAAGTATGCTGCGTGTGTTTCCACGACAGTGGTATCCACCGCAGTCAACTCACGGTATAGGAGTGTGTCAAGATGCTCTTTCCATCTAGCTTGGATAGATTCATTGTCTTTGAGGAGCATCGAGCCATCCTGTATTTGAAGAAAAGTACGACTGTAGGAAGATGGGCTGTAGATGTTTTTTGTTGCCTGGAGAAAGCTTTAGCATGTCATGTTTGTCAGCATAGAGCTGCATCTCTTTGGTTGTATCTTGTCACCACTGATTTTTGATTTCCTGGATCCTCCTTTTGAGCTTCAGCTTTTAGGAGTTGATACATCTCCTCCTCCTGCTGAGCTGAGGTGTCAGCTTGACAAGCAGAATGAACCTTTCTCTTCTGGTTGAGGAGGGCTTGAATCTTGGCATTGCTCTCATCCAGCCAGTCTTGGTGTATAGCCAAAGTATTCAGCACAGTCATATGAATGGTGGTTTTAAACTGCTACCAGAGTTCCTCAATGTTGCCTTCATTTGTGGACAGGGAAGAAAGCTTTCCATGGAGAGACTGTTGGAGATCCTTACAGATCTTGAAAAGATTTGGCATTAAGAATCCTTTGCATTGCTTTTGACTGCTGTTGGTATTTCAGAGTAGTCGAGATATTTATAATGGATCTGACAAGATGGTGATCTGTCCAGTAGTCATTGTTTTCTATCATGCAAACCATAGAATGGACATTCATTCAATTACAGGCTCTAATGATAAGTTAACATAGTTGAGAAAGTGTCAGTGCTTAGAGCGAGGGTATCTCTATGTGTTCTTGTATTTGTCACTCTGTCTGAAGATGGTGTTCATGCTGACAAAATCATGCTCTGCACATTTTACTTAGGAAGAGGAGGCTATTGGAGTTGCCTTTCCGTACTCCTTCCTTTCTAATGGTATCACTTCAGAGTTCCAGGTCACATCCAACTCTGGTGTTGAAGTCACTGAGGAGAGTGATCTTGTCTTGCTTGTGTGTGTTAGTCAGAATGGGGTCAAGGTTGGAGTAGAACTGTTCTTTGATGACATCATCGGCATCAAGCATTGGGGCATATGTGCTGACGATGGCGACATACTGACTGTTGCTGAGAAGACAAAGAGTCAGAAGACATTCGTTAACCCCCACAAAGAGCTCCGTAAGTTGACTGACAAGCTGATTCTTGACGGCAAAGTCAATGCCGTGATCATGCCTACCCTGAGCTGGTTTTCCCCTTCCAGAAGGTGTAGCCTCCATCCCCTTCCCTTAGCTGACCCTTATCCAGTCATCTTGTCTCACTCAGAGCTGCAATATTGATGTTGTAGCTCACTAGTTCCCTAGAGACAATGGCAGGTCTTCTTTCTGGTAGTTTGTTGTCTTGGTTATCATGAAGGTGTGAATGTTCCACGTTGTGAAAATCATTATTTTATGTTTTTGACCTCAAGAGAGAGTGACTCCACTAAATGAGGTTATCCAGCCAGGAATGCATAAAACAGCCCAGGTTTATGACACCTTTTCTAGCTCCTTCCCCATGTGGGGTGAGCAGAGGGGATACTGAATAGGACTGCTTAGTCATGATAGGGGTGCAATTTGGCTGAGACAGCAGCTGCCCTGGTGAAAGGTGACCACCAGGTGTCTGCAGTCTACTGCTGCCTGCATGCAGATTTGTGGCTGGAGACAGCTGGATTTACTAGTCCTGTCTCCATCACCATCAGTCCATTGCTGCAGGGCATTTGGAGGTTGGTACAGGAGAGCATGTTGTTTCCTGTGGTAGAAGCCTGCGTGTGATCGTTTTCCGTGGTGTACAGAAACAGCAACCACCCGATCTTGGCAAGGTGATCTGAGTCCAGCGGCAAGGGAGAAAACTAGATGACAGGAGCCCTCTATCTTGCTGCACCCTTCTTCCATCTTTACAGCTGTTGAGATCCTGACACCTTTTTCTACCTGATCCACTGCTGTGGACTTAGGATTGGACTGTGCTTTGTCTGGAACCTCCCCTCAAGTCCTGGCAGGGTCACCCACGGAGAGCAGGAGTGTGAGACTGGACGACGTGGCTCTGAGGGTCATTGGAATGCACAGCCCGCCCCCCCCGCAGAATCTCAGTCCATGGAGAAATTTAGATGTATTAATGTGAGCATAATTTTCAGGATCAAAGTCTAGCAAAGCAGCAGAGCGGGGTTAAGATCTTATCTATTTATCTAGCCATATCTGAACATTGAAACGGAGAACTCACACCCTTCAGAAAACTGAAGTTTGTTAAGTGCTGCCTCTGTTAAGGGGTTCCTGTAAGCTAGAGGAGTCTGTGATACTACAAGGGCCGACTGCTTGGTGGATACAGGTGTTGGATCCAGATTTCCATCAATAAATTACTCCAATGACCAAACGTCCATAATCCAAAAAACAACTTCTTCCTTACGTTACACCATAAGAGACATTTTCCTTTGTAATTCTTTGGAAATGAAAAACAGTAAGCTACAGAGATGGCAGTGGTCTTTATTTATAGCTGTGAAACATTGGCATCCTTATTTTGGTATGGACAGTGAGGGTTTTGCCTTCTTCTGTAGTTGGGGGGGCGGCCCACTTCCTTGGATCTCTCCAGCACATTTTAACTTTTGCAGCGCCAAGCCACTGGCTGCCACAGTCCCCCTGCTTTACCTGTGTCAGGTTAGGGTGTCATGTCTTTCGATTGTGCCAGGGCTGACCATGTAGCTTTGCTACCAAGTTAGACCATGAATTTGTGCAGGATGTTTTGGATAGGGGTGGTCCTGCTTTAGGCAGAGGGTTGGACTAGATGACGGCCGGAGGTCCCTTGCAACCCTACTTGTTTATGATCTCTATGATTTGGGGGGAGAGGGGGGTGATACCCTTCCACAGTAAAAGGGATAGTTCAGACCAACGGTGCTCAAACTTTTTGCTCTGCCTGCCAACTGAACGGTGCAGGCCTGGCCCATCCTGCCGCACCGTCGTCTGGCCCCCGCATGAGGCGGCTGGGGGGGTCCCGGCGAGCTCTGGCGGGCAGTGTCGGCAAGTGGGGAGTGCGTACAGGCGCTGTCGGTGGTGGGGGTGGTGAGCACAGCCGGGCAGTTGACAACCACCTGCAGATGCTGG